TCGAAATTAACTGATTTTATTTTGTAAAATTTCTGTAAAAATCCTTTGAAATAGTTCGTTCCAACCAGTTCGTCACGTCGAAACACATGGCAGTTTCTCTCCATCTAAATTTCCCATCACATCATGATCAATATCGATATATTGAACTCTTCCATCCTTGCATCAGGTTTCGTTATTGTTTTCTAACCACTTGATTACCGTGAAAATCCATTATATTTTAAAAACTGTAAAGAAACTTATCTCACGAGATAATCGCGATAACTATAAGCTGCAATAAGCTGCAAGCACACATTCTTCTTCAGCTCTTCTTCCAGTTTTGCACCTTGAGACAAAGTTGACATGAAATAAATACGATTTCGTGGAAAATAGTAGATTTTAAGAAGGATCACCAGTTGGCAACGCAAATTTAATATATAATAAAGGACACATGATCACGTGTGAATACTTAATTAATTACCAACCCCCAAATCGACTGCATGTCTAAATTAACAGTTAATGTAACGCCTATGGGATCCAGTCGACAGGGGTGCAGGCATACGTACTGCATGCCGGATTTTCTTTTATGTAGTAATTTATTTATTTATTAGAAACACAGTGGGTTGGTCCTATTGTTTATATACACGTGGGATGTTCAAACCATCTTTAAAAGGGAAAAAATAGATGTATTATTACTCCTGCCTGCCTCGTTGATACGCTTATAAATCGGATGGTAAAAAATGGGGGCGTTGTTTCACTACGTATAGGAAATGATTTCATCACTTCGATCAAATATTTCAACTCATTTTATAAAATATTTTAAAGAAATATAACATAAAAGAAAAGAACACTGAGTATAATCCCTGCAACCTCTCTATAAGAGTCGCAACAACTGAATAATATTATTCAAAAAAAATCATAAGAACCAAACCTTAAAATATGAGAGAGTCAAAAACTACATACATATATACATACATACATACATACATATATATATATATATATATATATATATATATATATATATATATATATATGTATATATATATTTTAAGATCATTTTCAAATCATTTTCACTATGAGAATATGCAATGTATGCACGCTCCCGCCTCACTATGAGACGGTAGACTCTGAGAGGAGATCTATACATGTATGTATGTCTTGTTTAGTGTGTAGTGATAAGAGTGCCTGATTTTTTTGGCTGTCCGGAGTGTCTGATGTTTTAAAGTTCCATTAATACATGTAGCCTTCTCACATTATAATTGTTCTACCAATTAATTTGGCAGCTGTAGCTGAGGCAAAAACCAATCAGCCCCTTTGGAGTAACTTATATGATTTCACTGAATTGTTGTTTCTTTTTTAGGTGTATTTCTTCGTTGCTGCATGCAAGGTTTGGAGAGTATGCTTTTTTTGTATATATCGATATGGTCTTTGAAATATAACCTTGATAGCTTATAATTGTAAAACATTTAAACAACCCGACAAAAAATGATATTTAGTCAAATTCGCTCATATGATTTTTAGTCAAAATACTCAAAAAGATATTGATATTCAATCTTTCGAGATTGACTTAATTTTTGTGACCGAAAGGAGTATTTCAAGGACCTCTTTCTTAATAATAAAAAAATCATCATGGCCTTTGATTAAAAAAAGCTACAACTAATTATATAAAGTTATAGATTGATGTAGGGACGGCCTCCTACATCGATCAATCAACAGTGTTAAGGAACATTCCAAGTGCAAATTAAATTATGTCTTTCTCGTTACTATATCAGTCCCAAAATATAAGGAATTTCTCTCTCATATCTAAAACTGTTGTGATATGAACTATCTTAGATTTTTTACATTTTTCTACCCCTTTTGAAAATTTATTTTATAAATGGACATTTTTTTCTCAGTGCTAGGGATATTGGAGTCAAGGTTCAATGTCCTCGGTGCCAATGACACCTGACGCCGACATCCTCGCCCTTCGTGGTAACTACGTCGCTATCATGAAGGGATCAATGTCAAAGAGACTAGCACCGGGAATCTATTTGTAAAATAAATTTTATAAAAAGTTCAAATGTATTTTTTTTCTATTAATAGGCCATTGGCGCGTGACCCCTTTACATCTCGGTTGCTAGGGAACGAGGGTTTCAATGCCATTGCCATTGACACCGAGATGTTAGATCTCGGCGCTGTTAGGTGTATTCCTTAAATAAATTTATATATTTTATAAAATAAGCTCTCGTAAAAGAGCCGCAATATTATAAAAAAAAAATCCAAAGTAAACTACCACAGAAACTCCATGCACCATACGAGGACTGGCCACTGGCCACATCAGCTCAAATGGCCACAGGGAGAGAAGAAAGCCAAGTCAGAGACGTAGAGGCAGTAGAGCCGTACATGTCAAGTTGGAATAGTTGAAGGAAGCAAATCGATCTCGTCAGACACGACACAGAGCCCACAGGAAAGTTTGTAGTATACACATTTGCTTTCTGCAATAATCTTCGATCACAACAAGGACGACAAATTCAGTAGAGTTGGTGTCCAGTACTCCAGTAGATATGTACTCCCTCCGTTTCTTATTTTTCTAGTATTTAAAACAATTTTGTACACATTCCAAATATAAAGATTTCTAGTATTCAAATTCTATAAGCAATGTAAGTGTTTTTCAGATACTTATTTCAATACACAATAATCGAAGCGTTTTCAGCCAATTATGTTAGGTACATGAAATTCAAAATTTAAAAATTGACTAATGAGATAACTGAAAAGAAAATATTTTTCCTATATATCTTAATCTTAACCAATTGTATTAGGTGTTTAGGAGGGAGTATATAGCCTCGGCTGTTTTGTTTCACCTGGTAATAGGAAAAATAAATTTACCTTTAGTTTGTTACTGGAGTTTGTATCCAGTAGGGTAGCCTCCAAATTAATACTACAGCTATACTTGGAAATTAAGATAGTACACTGTGTATATGGCACCTAGTACAGCATTAAGCAGCTTTAAATGGCCGGAGAAATAATTTTGTGGAGATATGTATTTATTATGAATAGCTCTCTCTTAGCTTACTGTTGAAACTTGAGTGAAGTGAAGTTGAAGCTTGAATAAATATATGATCACGAAAGCAAAAAAGCATTACCCGCCAAAAAAAAAAGAGAAGCAAAAACCATGTTTTTCTAGTCGAACGATCGATACAGAGGTCAGGAGTTGTACTTTAATTACTTGTCTATGAATACCTGGCTGTCTAGAGAAGACTTGCAAAGTGCGAAATAATTGGATATCTATATCCTTTTTCTTTAAGAACTTGGGCCGTATATCAGAATGGACGGATCTTATTGTAGGCCCAATTTCTGTGTAATGAAAAGGAATAAGCCCATTTGACATCCCTTATCTTTTTGTCGAGTTTGAGATCCCTAAACCGCAATACCATAAATCTTCAACGCCCTCCATCTTGGCAAAACCGTCCAAGTCAGGTAACATGGCAATATGGATGATTGTTTTCGCTAACATGGCATCCTTGTCAGAAAAATAAAATCAAAAAACATGTGGGGCCCATATGTAATTGAACTTCCACATCTCCCCACCTATTGTCTCTCCTTCCCGCTCCACCTCTCCCCTCTCTTCCCTAGGTGCTTGCCGACGGAGAGAGGAGCGGCAACTGATGGACGGAGGGTCTAATTTAACCTGGTTTTGTAAGTTGGGTTTCAAGATTTCTGGTATTGTAGTTTAGGGATGTCGATTAAACTCGACTTTAAGATGAGGGACAACAAGTGAACTTATTCCTAATGAAAAAGAGCCACAGTATCACTATCCCGGCCCAGCATTCATTTGGGCCTCCATGACAAATGCTTGGCAAATTAGTGGAGAGGATCAGCTCTTGGCCCTTGTCATGAAAATCAGTAAAGGCAAAATGGAAAAATGTTTTGGACATATGTGAAGAAACTGTGTCGGTTAATGCTCATAAAGTGTGCACAGTTCGTAGCATGGTACTACCGTACTAGTGCTGCGATCTTATCATCTCTTTTTCACATGGAACAGCCACGTTCTATTTCCCAAACCAAAAAAAATACATATACTATAGTATGTGCTTTGATTGCAAGTAAAGACCAAATAGTAGCTTGACTAATTCATAGCTAGGACAAAATACTCACTGTGTGCATTCAACTATTTTGATCTGGCGTATGTGATGTTGCAATATACAACATGGCAAACTGTCCAATTCCCACTGTAACCTTGACTGAACATGACATAATTACATGACAAATTGCCTCTCTTTGGAGCACGCAAGGTTCCATAAGTTGGTGTAAATGCAGAGCCAATGTTTGTGGCTTTCTTGCAAGGTCAGATATACAGATGGTTATTCTTGCTGGGAGGTACATGTGCAGTAGTTCTACATTTGTACTACTGCCCAGCTTCAGTTCACCTTGAAATGAGGAATAATAGGGAATCCAATGAGATTGTCTGGCTGCAGTACACAAATTTGATGTCTTTTCTTGTCCAAACTGCAGACTTTGGAGCGACTGGATGAGCAGGGGACATACATATTTCTCTGGATCACTGTCTCATGCATTTTCTCACAACATATTTCAACACTGGGTAAATCTGAATCCTGAAAGTTGGAGCAATGTATTGAATATTCTAGGAAAAACCATTGATGTCAACATGCCTTGTGTAGTTTTTCGTTATTTTCGTCGAATGAAAAAGTAAAGCAGGCTATGGTGATTGATATTATACTCCTATCCGACTGAAAGTTCTCGTCCTGCACAATTTTGTTTAATTTCTGTCAGTACTCAGAAAATGAAGTACTGACAGTACAGATACCACCAAATGGTGCAGAATTATGTCGCTGAATGTCTATCTTCGTTTCCTTTGCCATCATCCAAGAACATGAACCATATCCCCACTTGCCATCTGTTTTAGATTTTGATATCCCTCCTACTTAATATCTCTGTTCCTTTCCATCTTCTATAGTTGGTCATAATTCAGAACCAAGAAAAACCTTGTTTTATAGCAATCTTCAAAGAACATCTTGTGGCTTACCAAGAAGCTGGTCTGCTGGTGATGGCACCTGAATTATCATTAGTGTATGTTCATTCATCTGTGCTCAGGTACATATTATGCTTTGCCTTGAAGCGCAGAAGTAGGTAAAAAAAATCCTAGTTTTTTTTTTTGAACGGAAAAAATATCCTAGTTAGAGCGATAGGCTGATTGTCAGGGCATACACTACTTGGTTCTTGACTCTTTTTTTTTTCTTTGATGAATCCTAGTTTTGCTTTTATTTTTAAGCCAAAATTTCACATCTGTAACGGCTCCATGTTCTAAGCTGCAACAGATGAGTCTCCACATTTGTAACTGTGGGTTGTAACGACTGCTCTAACCATTATAGATGTAGGGTTCTGTGCTAGTGTTCACTTGCAATACAATTGCAATTGCATTCCTGAAATCATATTTTCTTTTTAGAGAATGAAATGAAATTCATTTCAGCTTTTGTTTTAAGGAAACTACAACCAATTATTGAAGAGGTTGCAGGTTGAAGGACTCCGAATTCCCGTAATCAGCTAAAATTCAAAAAATATGGGCATCCAAATCAGTCATAGGATTATTTGAACCAGGTGGGTAATTGGAATGTTCCTTTATTGTTCTTCTATCCTCATGCTTTTTCCCGAATGTGGACTAGGCAGAATAACACAGTATCTAACCTAACCGATTTGATACTGATCTACTGTCCATGGAGAAGGAATGTAAGGCATAGGTGCACTTACTTTTGATGGTTCTGAATTTTCGTCCAGTCCAGGCATAAGTACTATTTTTGCTGGTCATAGTTGGTCAATACCTGGAATAGGTTTGGAAATTTCAGGTTTTCAAATAATAATTAGATTATCAAGTAGCTTTGCAGACGATTTCCGGTCATATAAACAACTTGTTAAATTTTATTTATCAGTTAAAAAACAAATATGGGTTTGAATTCACGAAAGCAATACAAACTTCTCACCCATTCCCAAACGGTCAGATTAGGTTGTCCAACAAACTCTAATTCTGTCCACTGATTTTTTTTTTCAGTTTATGTCTCAGTCTAATGTTTTATCAGCAGCTGACATCCTTGATGTAATCCTCTCTATTTGAAACAGAGTTGCACCTCCACTTCCTATTTTCTAAATGAAAAATCTTTCTATGATTGGTCAAGTGCTGTTGCTATTTCTCTGCTGATAAACATCAGTGATGAATCTTGATACTGACTCTTATTTATTTTTTTCAAGAAACATCCAGAAAATAAATATATGTGCCCTGCTTCTCACTGTTCCATTATCATCCTAGAATAATCATACCCTCTCTCTTTCTCCAAATGATGGTCACTTTGATAAAAAAAACAGGCCCCATATTTAACACATGCTTAACCTATAGCAACCTGATTGATTTACAAGTTTTTTTTCGGTCAATTTGTACGAAATACACGTTACCAAGGAGCATATCCTGTTACAATCATCTGACTCTCTGTGATTGAAACCTTGTCTCTGAAATGCTTGAGGGCACAGCAATAAGTATTGAACAAATGTGTGATTCATGGATACATACGGTGTACTGAAAGTGACACCAAGCAAGAATTAGTATCATGGGCTCCAAAGACACCTGTGCTCATTCTGTTGGTTCTCTACACATGTTTTAGAATAAATAAATAAAATTAGGCCATATTTGCACTGAAATGTCTGCCATAGGGAGGTGATGCCAAGATGTCCATTTCATTCAGACAGGAGTGCTAGATGATTTCCCAAGTAGCCCCTACCACATTTTATTGCCCTCTTTATTAAGCCCTCTAGCTAGCTATAACACCTTACACACACCAAGATTAATTATCTATCCACAGGGACAGAGAAGAAGAAGAAGAAGAAGAAGACTATCATCTTGAGCTTATTCTTCCATTTGCTCCATCTTGAAATCATCAGTAACCATGGCTAGGAAGTGCTCTAGCTGTGGGAACAATGGCCACAACTCCAGGACTTGCAGTGGCCAAAGAGTTCTTGATCACAGCATCAGCAGCAGCAACAGTGGTAGTACTACTGCTGCTGCTGCTACTGCCTGTGGTGGCTTGAGGTTGTTTGGGGTGCAGCTGCAGGTAGGAGGAGGCTCATCTCCTCTGAAGAAGTGCCTCAGCATGGAGTGCTTGGCATCACCAGCATACTATGGAGCTTCTGCCTCGCCGTCGGTTTCGTCGTCGTCATCTTCGCTTGTTTCGATTGAGGAGAACACTGAGAGGGTCTCCAATGGGTACCTCTCTGATGGGCTCATGGGAAGGGTTCAGGAGAGGAAGAAAGGTGAGCCTGAATAAACATCAGCTTGTGTTCTTAGTAGCTTCCTCATGGTTTTGATGGAGTAGGGCTAATTACAATTTACACCACAGATGTGATTTTTTTTGTGTTACAACATTATCTTTGATGGTTTGCAAGTCCAGTCTACTTATCTTTAGTTCTTTACCTTTGATTTCTCTCGTTATTCACTGAATTTTGCACTTATCAAATGATTGATTGTTGCCACTTGTCATTATCAGTTGCTTCAGGTTTACTGAATATTTAAGTTGACTCTTAAAAGATCAGTTCAACATAGGAGTTGCTTGGCATTTCAACAAGTGTATGATGATCTGTAACTTCTGAATCTCAGGAGTTCCATGGACTGAGGAAGAACACCAGATGTTCCTCGCCGGCCTTGACAAGCTCGGAAAAGGCGACTGGCGGGGCATTTCTCGGCACTTCGTCACTACCCGGACTCCAACGCAGGTCGCCAGCCATGCCCAGAAGTACTTCCTGAGGCAGAACAGTATGACACAGAAGAAGAGGAGGTCCAGCCTCTTTGATGTGGTACATGACTCAGCTCAATTCTCAGATATCTCATCACATGTGTCACCTTTTGTTCCATGACACTGTATCTGTCATGTAATATGACCACCCTGTCATGTGCAAACTCTTCAGGTTGAAGGTATCAAGAGGGCAGCAGCAATGCCCATTTCAGGATCTGCATCTGAACTGCAGATCCCCGGCATGTCGATCGGTGTCGGCGTGGTGAAGGAGGAGGTTGTCCTGCCTCCATGTCTGAACCTGATGAGTAACAGTTCATCAGCATCACAGCACTCACCTTCCCTGACATTGCTGGCAAATCCTCAGGTGCAGCTCCAGATGCCTGACCTGGAGCTAAAGATGTCCACATCCCGGTTATCTGACCAATCCGGTCCGTCGCCGAGCACGCCTTTCTTCGGGACCATCAGAGTTACCTGATCTTCATCTTCAGTGCTCCTCATAAAAGTGGAGGAGTTCAGAAAAGGGTGTTTTGGAGATCATGTACCTCAATCAGAAAGTTAGGTGTTACTGTAATGTTAGAATGACAATCAGTGATCAGCCCATGCACAAAATAAGATAAGAAAAGCAAAGAAGAAATGGTTTTTATCATATCATACCATACTTTTGCAATCACCTTATAGCTTTATGTTGACACAAAGGCATGGCAAGGGTGGTTGCTGGTTTGGATTTTCAGAGCCTGGAGAAGGTGAAAGATGAGCTCACAATATTCAGTTTGCAGTGGGCAATGACAAGGACAGGCAAAAACCTCAGCTACCAAAAATTTCTTCTTTCCTTTTATTCACTGCATACACACACATGATCATCTCCTTGTACAGCACATGAGGTTAATTAGCTATGCATGCATGCATGGAACCAATTACAAAAATGTCTAAATTAATTGGTTTTTCTAGTACAAGTTAATTTCTTTTCTCTTTTTCTGAAAGTGAGGTTCTTGTACAGGTTGTGATCGATGTTTACCTGTCGTTTGGTGTGCTGCCAATAAAGATCTATTAATCATTAATCCCCATGTTTTGTCATTACACATGCAAGGAGCTCATTGATCACATAATAACATACACACCTAACTGACTAATGCAGAGGTCAGGAGATGTAACAGTGGATGTCATTTTCAGAAGAGATTGGATCAGATTTGGGTGAAACATCTTGACAGGCCACTTTTAGTACAGAACTAACAGATGGCAGGCATCAGTTACTTGCGTAATGAAGCAAGGATAAATTATGCAAGTTGAGGGGACATATTCTCTTTAAATTGCATGACCATGATCCTGCTCCAAACCTAATAAAGCAGGTTTTGACACTAACAAACATGATGGCACCATCATGAGGGGAGTAAAGCAAGCATCAAGGAGAAGATTGGGATAAAAATCAGACAGGGTATAATTTATACTTCCTTTCATATTATAAGTCGTTTGACTTTTTTTCCTAATCAAACTTTGTCAAGTTTGACCAAATTTATAGAAAAGTTTAGCAACATATAAAATATTAAATTAGTTTCGTTAAATCTAACATTGAATATATTTTGATAATATGTTGTTTTGTGTTGAAAGTACTATTATATTTTTTTATAAACTTGATCAAAACTAAAGAAGTTTGATTAGGATAAAAGTCAAATGACTTATAATATGAAACGAAGGTAGTAATACTCATGCAAAAAAAAAAAAAGAAAGCATAGGCAGAAGGAGAAAGCATGACTTCTGTTTACTGAATTTAACATTTGAATCACTCACTGGGTCCCTGTGCATCAATAAAAGATGAAGAAAATTGTTATCATAAAAATGTGATTGAGGAAGAAACCTGTTTTTTCTGCACTGTCATCTTATCTTTTGATCAGTTCAATTCGTGGTGGATATGAGAGGATAGGATTCTGAATGATTTAGTAAGTTGAAGAAAAAGTAATCTGAACATTATGAGGGAGATGAGCCCACACATCTGGAGACAAACAGCAATTCCGAACTACTATGACTACAAAAATTAGGGAGTAAAATTAAGATAGAATTAAATATGTGAGCTAGGTTTATCATGCGGTCAGTCATGGGTTACCTCATTTTTGGTCTAGCTTTATAAAGTCAAGCATCTCGCTTTAGTTGCTGAGCATTCCAAATCCAGGACAGGTACCAAATTAAGATTGGGAAAATTCTTTATTTATCATTCAATATTACCATTTTTCTACACTGATTTGATTGTTACCGTATTTTCTTTTTCATCGAGGATTGGCATGCCCCACCATATATACCATTGGTACAAGTATTTTTCCTCCTTTTGTGCTATCCATGTCACAGGATTTTTTTAGTTTTTAGTCTTTTCGAAAACTTGTTTTACAAATAATGTCCTCGGCGTAAGTGTCATTGATGGCTTAGTGCCACTCCCTTCACATCAGTGTCTTAGCTTCCGCGGGAGGAGAAGGGGCACAACACCAATGTCATTCGTGCCGTCCTATTGGACCATGAATGGCGCCAATAACACTGGCGTTAAGAAATGGGTTCATTCTTGAAATAACTTTTTTCAAGGATCTATTTATAAAAAATAGTTCTAAAATATAAAAGATCCAGATCCATGTCATATATATATGCCGTTGTACTAAACTACCCTTCATCTTCCTCTACTTTCTTCTTCGACCAATCTTATCTAGCAATGTCTCTCCTTTTTCTGTTTTACTTTTTCTTACTATAGAGCCTTTGATTTGAAAATTTGAACAAAAATAGCAAGTATTGAGGGCAATCTAGAACCTTCCGTTTAAATTTGCCCACTAAGGTTTGTTTGGTTAGCCTCTTTCCTAAGGAGATTGGAGTAGATTTTGGGAGAATCGATTCCACACCTATTAATCCCCTCTAATTTCTCCCAATCTCTATATGAAAGGGATTAACCGAACATGCCCTCTGAAAATAGTTTTGGTCTCGAAGTAGAATAATAGAGAGGAAGAGTTGCAAAGCATCGACGTGATAGAGTTATGGAAGGACTTAGTGCTTAGGTCAAGCACAACGGAGCCCTCTAGAGACATGTGTTTTGGAGGTTGGACGCTAATGTAAACAAACCACAGGTAGCTGGGAATACATAGATCCACTACCCACTCCTCCATCCAGTCTTGAAATTCATGTCTCAATGAGCAAAGGATTTGCTTTCCATACTTTCGATTATAAACCGAAGCATTTTAAAATTTTAGATTATGATTTTTAAGAATGGGACATATCCGGTGAAAACGAGCTAAGTGTTAGAAACTCGTGAAAATTATATCTAAAAGTTTTGTAAATTCATGAAAAAATACTAGAGATAGGTGTAGATATGAAATACATTCTCACCAAATCTCAAGTTCAAACTCAACTCCATTTAGGAGTAAAAAAACAAATTTCATATGAATAGTAATAGGACACTATTCACCAGAAATTTGTCTCTTTTTTTCTCTTAAACGAAGTTGAGTTTGGAGTTGAGATTTGGTGAGAATGTATTTCATATCTACACCTATCTCTAGTTTTTTTTTATGAATTTACAAAACTTTTAGATATGATTTTCACGAGTTTCCAACACTTAGTTCGTTTTCATCAGATATGTCCTCTTTTAAGAATAATATTATGTCACTTTTGTTACACGCAATCTTTTCTTTCCTTGATAATGGAAAACACATTTTTTTATTAATGTAAGTTGGCAAATGATGAAGAAACCCCATAAAAATCAAATTTTAAAAAATCAAAATCAATAGAGTTTAGCCCAACAGGGGTCCAAGTATCCTGCCGGACATCAGTGCCATGTTAGATAAGGTTACAAGTGACCTGATAAGACGGTTGCCACCATGTTGTAGGCTCCTTAGCCTCCTCACCTATGCCATTCTTGAGGTTGTAATATCCATTCAACCTATCTTCTGATGTAAATAGTTTGTGTAAATAGTTGGTGTTGTCGAGACACTTTATATGGGACTAACACGGGGATATGCATCTTTTTTTAAAAAAATTACACAGTACAACGCATGCATCTCCATTTAACAATAATTATTCGACAAATATACAATAACGATGGGACCAAGAGGAAGTGGACAAACAAATAGAGAACGATAAAAACCATTGGACTCCTTGGCCTATGACACTGACATAGCCCAAGGGAAATATTGTCATTTTATTATTTATGTATAAAATAGACTTGTAAAAGTTGCATTTTTTAATGTATAAAATAGACTTGTAATGGTTGCATTTATTTTATAAGAAAACACAATAACACACACGTACACCCTATCCCTTATAAGCACCTCTCACCAGGGCACCTAGCTGTCGACTTGTAAATAATTAGCCGTAAATACGAACCTATGTCAGCTAGGTATATAGGTTTCACCATAAAAAATCTAACTAGTTAAACTACACTCACCTCGCGTAATGGTTGCATTTTCACTCCATGGTAACATGCCAAATAAGTTGCACGTGGTGATGTGGCAAATACCATGCATACATAAATTTTTAATTAGATGTCATATAAAAGACGGTCCTATTTCTATTTCTAGTGCCATATATCAAAACAGGGTAATATTGAGTGGAAACTAAATATTCTTTTTCTCAATTCGTAATGGTTGCATTTTCAATCCACGGTAACATGCCAAATAAGTTGCACGTGGTGATGTGACAAATACCATATACAAATTTTTAATTGGATGTCATATAAGAGACGGACCTATTTCTAGTGTCATATATCAAAACAGGGTAATATTGAGTGGAAACTAAATATTCTTTTTCTCAATTGAATTTGGGAGACATTTGATGAAGAATATCTTAGAACTTCTCAATATTTATCGCAGGGACGTACGTTGTGCAGGTAGGAAAGAGGCCTAGCTAGAAAGGCCCATTCATGGGCTGTGCTGGGCTCTCATGTCATACACGGCAGTGATTTTCCTTTCCTTTTTCTTTTCTTATTTTTTTAGAAACACATAAACGTGCGCATACTCACCCCTATGAGCACCTTAGTTCATCATCTACCATTAAAAAATACTTAATCATAAATATAAGCATCCGTGTTAAGTCTAGAATTTAAACTTAGTTGGATCCGTTTCACCACAAGAAATCTGTTGATCGAGTTACGTCCTTACCAATGGTTTTGGAATTTCCAGACGGCACATTATTGTCTGCATGGCACATGAATATTGGAGTACTTTTGTCTTGTTTTTTTTTCTGCAGCAATCGGGTTGATGTCTTAAGACGTACTACCGAATAAAAACACCGATTCACTACCGACGAATAATAAGGTGTGACATATGTACTAAGGTTAAATTCTGTTGTCTTTGAACTAATTAAAGTTTAAATTGTTGACGGTATCTTTCAGTGTTACAAAACTAAAAATATGAGCTTTCGATGTTATATAACCAATTTTGCCAATTAATAATACGCATATGCGGTACGCTTCCAACATAAATTAAGATTTATTTTTGACATTTCATAAATTAGGCTTCGATTATGTTACACCCTGACCCAATTAACTCGGATGCATGGTCATGTATTATTGTCATGGAGTGTTATCTCGTAATGAAAATCAAAGTAACCATAAATAAAGCGTGAAATCATCAAAATTTTCTTTTTATATGTTAGGGGTCACATTCACGATATGTCGTAGTGTATGTGTTCTTACATTTATCGTGTAATAGAAAAAATGAGAATACTTGATCAGTTGTTCTCGTGGACCTACTAGCTCTCATCATAATAAGCACATACACTCGTTCAACCCAGATCTTTCGATCTCAATAATCTAAAGGCTTGCATTCAGGTATGGCATATTTGCGAAAAAACGCTCGCCGTTGCGGAAATTTCACAGAAGAACCCTTCCAAGGTTCTCTTCTCACGTCTTCTCACATGACCCTGATGACTTTTATCTTCCATGCACTAGCCTTTCTCAACCTCATGTAATAACATGTAAACATGTACCTTGCATTAGTTATATCTACTATACAATGATATTTGGAAAATTGTCTTTACAAATGTTAAAACGTCTTCACAAAATGTCTTTGTATACAAGACAAATTTTAAAGCGCTG